CAGCCTCGCCAGAACTGTATTCTATTGTAAGAATGTGCAATCGTTGAAAACAGAACAGCGTTTCGCAGAATTTCTTGCGGAGGTGGGGTGTTTGAGGACTTGGGGCGCGATACTATTGAACGAAACTTGGAGAGAGGATCGAGAGGAATGCTTTGCAGTGGAATCCCGCCATATTTTCTTCGGCTCAGGGGGCGCGTCGGGAAGAAATGGAGTATGGAGTGGCTATGTTGCTTCGCAAACGGCGGGCTGCATCTGTCATTTCCTTCACGGCCAAGTCCGACAGAGTGTGTCGGTTGGACGTTTCACTCGGGCTGTCCCGGCTTCGGATCGTTCCTGTGTACATGCCGAATGCGTTCCGCCCGGATGAGGAGGTGGAGGGACTGTATCATATATTATATTCTTGTAAAGTGGACGCTGGAATATCGAAATTTGTATTTCTTGCCGGAGGCGATTGGAAAGCTGTCGTGGGCAGGGCGGGAAACCACGTAGCGGACCAGCGCATTGGAGAACATGGGGAGGGGCACCAACATCCAAGAGGCGAGTGGATGGCATCTTGGGCTCGGTCTGGATCGGTTTCCATCGTGGGGGCTTTCTTCCACAAGACTTTCAGTCAACAGTGGGCGCATGAACACTTGGGGGTACGACGACAAATCGATTATTTATGCATAGACGCTGACGCTCTGGGGATGGTCACAGACAGCGAGGCTACAGATGATATCAGCGTGGGGGTGGATCACAGGGCAGTGGTCGCGAAGCTTCGTGCCCGGTTGAACGCTGGGAAATCTGCATCTAAACGTAACGTACGGAAATGGTCAGATACATCGAAAAATGCATTTGCGAAGCGGGTGGACGAGTTGATTGCGAACAATCAGCTGGAAGAGGGTGGGCGCGCAAGTATTGATAACCAGGCAGCTTGCGACGATATCGAGAATGCAATTATGGGGGCCGCTGAAGCATGCCGAGAAAAAGCGTTCACGAGGCAAGGATCGTCGTACACAGCTCAGCGACAAAGCTCGGCAACTGATCGATGAGAGGAGGCGAGCGCGGAAAGCGTCGCCCGGAACAGAGCACCGACCGGTGAAGACAATCAGCAAGGACTTACAGAAAGAATTGAGACGATGGAATCGGGACAGAAAGCAAAACGAGATCCATAGTATACTGAAAGATTTTAAGAATATCAAGCATATCCAAGATATCCATACCAATAAGAGGAAAAACAAATTGACCAGCATGGTAGACGCACAGGGACATGAACAGACAGACCGGCAAGAGATTGTTGAAGTGTTTGCTACTTTTTATGAGGAGTTGTATTCTTGGCACCACAGGGAAGAACGTGCTGATCCGGAGCATGACGACCGCGGCGCTCAGCACGCGGCCGGTATACATCCTGTTACAGCGGAGGAAGTACGGAAGCACTTGCGGAAGATGAAGCTGGGCAAGGCTGCGGACGGCGGGGGCGTCGTTGCTGAGATGCTGAAGTGCGGGGGTCCTCTACTGATTGATGCCATTGCGAGTTTGTTTACTGATGTGCTGACTGGCGACGGAGAGCCACCAGCCTCGTGGAAACACACAAGAGCCAAAGTTTTATTCAAAAAGGGAGACCCCAAGCTTCCGCATAATTATCGTCCCATATCAGTCCTGCCGATATTGTGCAAGTTATTCAGTATGATAATCAACGATCGTATGTATCCGTATTTGGAGCCGGAGCAGTCTGTTGATCAAGCTGGTTTTCGAAAAGCTTTAGCTGCGACGACCATCTTCTCACTTTCGCATTGCTGCAGGAGAAGATGCGGGAGTTCCAGATGCCACTATGGATAGCAGCAGTTGTTTTTTAGAAGGCGTTTGATTCTGTATCCCACGATGCCATATGGGAGGCATTGCGCGCGCAACACGTGTCAGAGCAATATATCAAAGTTCTTGTGCGACTGTACACCGGGAAAACAGCACAGGTGGTAGCCGATTGCACAAGCCGCACGTACAAGTTGGAACGCGGAACTCGACAGGGATACCCTCTCAGCCCGGCATTATTCAATGCAGTTCTGGAGCACCTTATGCGGCGGTTGAAAACAGAGTGGCGAAAGCACAGGATCGGCGCACGCATAAATCACGAGTTCTTGACCAATTTCCGATTTGCAGACGACGTGTTGTTATTTGGGACAACGAGAGCGCACGTCAGACGCATGCTCGAGGAGCTGCAGAGATGTGGAGAAGTGGTTGGCTTGAAATTGCACATGGGCAAGACTAAGATTATGTCCAAAGTGGAGTGTTGTAAAGATGTGTTTCGCCAACATCACGTTCGAGTCGGCGACGGCTACGTCGAGGTATTGCCATATGATGGCGATACTGCGATACTATATATCTTGGGAGACTGATTTCGTGTAGTGACATCCACGACCGGGAAATTGGGCAGAGGATTTCCAGAGGTTGGGCCGCTTTCGGCAGGTACAAGACAGAGCTCACAAACAAACATTATCCTTTGAAGTACAGGTTGCGCTTGTTCAATTCTGTCGTGGCGCCAACCGTCCTGTATTGCAGTGGGTGCTGGACTATGACAGCTGAAAGAGAGCGCAGACTGAGAGTAGAAGAGCACAAACTGATGCGCCGGGTGGTGAACACGCCACGGAGGTATTCCGAGCTGGCGGACGGCAGCGTGGACACCGAGTCTTGGGTACTGTGGATACAACGAGCAACGCGCAGAGCCGAATACCAATTCCAAAAATCTGGCATCCCGGGCTGGGTAGAGCAGCAGCGGGGCCGCAGAGACAGACTGCTGGACAAAATTCTTGAGTGCGGAGACCGGCGGTGGTCGAAGATATTGGTTGATTGGAACCCTGAAGGTGTCCGACTGACCGGGCGCCCCCGCAAGCGCTGGCAAGATCAATTTTTCCACGAGGCTAGCGAGCCCGGCGCCTCTCTAGGCACGGGCGCGGGACTTCCCCCGCAGCGCTTCCTTCCTTCCTTCCTTCCTTCCTTCCTTCCTCGCGGCTTATCACCATCATTCGTTATGTGCCGATGTCACCGCCAGCATCGCACATACATACATATGAGGCATTCCAGAAAAAATGTGTCTTCGAGGGTCGAAGGAGTTGCCATCTCTTCCTCGGCGGAAAGCGGCGGAAGGGTGGCGGAAGGTCGGCGGAAGTGAAACGAGGCCGCCTCCGCTGGCGGAAGCCCGCGGAAGCTCGGCGGAAGGCGGCGGAAGTAAAAAATGCGCCCCCCAAGAGACGAACACGTTTTTGTATTAGGGTGTTCGGAATCGGACATACATACATACATGCATACATAATATATATATATATATATATATATATGTATATCTACATGGGAATGGAAGCCTGCATTGGCGCTTCGCGCCGTTCACCTTGGCCCTTCGATGTCGGTTTGCGAGCAGAATGAGAGAGAGAGAGAGAGAGAGAGAACATATGAAACAAAAATACAATGATAACTCCAGTGATGCCCTTGCCATCGTCGTACGTATGATAGTTGTTTCCCTTTCCTTCCCCATGTGTCGTCTTCCTCCTCTTCGTTTTCGCCCTACGCTGGGAACCCTTCTCCATCCTGCTCTGTTGTTTTGTTCCCTGGAATCTTCCCCTTGGAAGGTGGGAGAACCACGGGAAAACCGTGGCACAACTACAGCGGGGCAACCAGTAGACATCCACGGGCCATCCGAGGAACAACCACGGGACGATTCTGGGACAACCACGCGACCATTGGCAAATCATGGAACAACAACGGGACACCCACGAGACAGTCGCCGGGACAACCACGCAGACAGCAATTGGGACAACCATCGGGGCAACCATCGGAACAAGCGCCAGACAAGACGGAACAACCCCAGAACAACCGCTAGGTTAACCTTGGGACAACAAGGACGCACGGACGCGCGCATTGAGCGGAACAGTCTCATGTGAATCAGCGTTTCATGGGCAGGATCTCCCCCCTCGCCTTTGCGCAGCTTCGCACCACCCACACGCGCGTCACGCACGACACGAAACAAGATCGTGGTGGGACGGGGAGGCGGGCGGGCGGGCGCGCATGGAGAGTGCAGGAGGGAGATGCGGAGGAGGACAAGGGGGAGGAGGAGGAGGAGGAGTAGTAGGAGGAGGAGGAGGAGGAGGAGGAGGAGGAGGAAGAAAATCAAGCGGGAGGTCGAACGGGCGAGTAAGGAATGGATGTTTGCGCGCGTGCGCGTTTGTGCGCGAGGGTCCCTACGGGCTACGGGTGAGCCCTGCGTCACCCCGCCCGGTGATTGCCTGTGAGTTCGGCGCGCCTCTCTGCCTGCCGCCTGCCCCGACTCAGCCGTGCCGCTGCGCGCGTGGCCGCGACGCAGACGTGCGTGTGCGCGGGCTGGGTCGAGGCACCGATGCTGTCGCCCCAGTGCCGCGCCAGGCTGGGCCGGGCTCCCGGACCTGGGCGCCCGCCTACCTCCACCGCGTCCCCGCTCGCTGCTCCCTGCTGCCCGCTGTCCCCTCTGTCCGCTGCCCCCTCTGCTCATGGGTGTGTTTTCCACCACCACCATAAGTTAGAGGGGGGAAGGAGGTGGAGGATGAGGAGGAGGAGGAGGAGGAGGACGAAGAGGAGGAGCAGGAGGAGGAGGAGGAGGAGGAGGAGGAGGAGGACCCCCCCCCCTCTGCTTATGGTGGTGGTGGTGGTGGTGGAAAACAGGCCAACCATCTGCTGCCCTGCTGCCGGCCCACCGGCCCTCTGCCCGATTCTCCCGGTCCTGCGCCCCCCGCTCCCCCCGTCCCACTCTGCTCCCGCTGCACCTCGCGCCCGATTGTGACGGGACGTGGGAGTTTTGACCCTTCGCCGGAGTGACCTTTTCGGTGCGGGCCCACTGGGCGCGATGACGTTGCAGCGGCCTGCGTGCTCGGATTTGGCCACCTCGCGCCCCCCTGATCCGCGCAGCAGGCCACTCTCAGCCAGGGCGACTCCTGCGTGTGGCCGACCCCCGCTCCCTCTGCCCATTCTGCTCCTGCTGCAGCTGCACCTCGCGCCCGATTGCAGAAGCTATTCTGTTCACACCGTCTTCCGGCCCCATGCCTTCTCGCCAGGGCAGCTCGAGCTATTCACCTGGCCCTCGCAGCCCCCTCCGAAGGAGGGTCCCCGGCGCGGGCCTGCGATGCCGCGGTGACGCCCGGGGTCTGCGAGCTGGCAGGCGATGGCAATCCTCTTCTGCAACGACCTCGTTCCCACCTCTGGCCAGGCCACGGCCCTCCGGGAGTCTGGGCGCCGGCCGGTGCCACCGCTGCTCGACCTGCCCGGCGCAGGTGCGGCGTCCCCGTCGGACGACTCGGCGGGCTCCGCGGACGACGGCCAGCTAGCAGAGGTGGTGCCCTCGAAGACGGCACCCGAGATCAGCCAGGCCGACTGGCTGCATGGCTCGGCGACCAGGATCTGGGCCCGAAGTATGACCCCCCCCTTGTCGCGGCACGGTTTTGTTAGGGATGGGTAGGGTCTACTCGTGTGCGGTATGTATGTGTGTACAGTGTGCGTGTGTGTATCTCTCGTTCGTGGTGGAAGGCTGCCCCGCCCGCGGCGTCACCGCAATCCAATACCTCTGAGCCTGTGCCCCCCCCCCCCCCCTGGATGTGCAGACTACGCGAAGACGTGTGCACTCTTAGAAGGCACGACGGCTCCTGAGAAGCCCCCCCCCGCCTTCTGAGAAGGCCAGTCCCGCCTGCCTCCCCCCCCAGCGCGCCGCCCCAAATGCCCCCGAGCAGTGCTTGCACTCGGGGGATCTCACTTGCCTCCAAAGGTAGCCGGGCCTGTGTGGCGGTCTGGGCAGCACGCAGCCGCCCGTCGCCGCCGCCGCCGCCGCTGGCAATGCCGCCTGTGGTGGCGGTCTGGGCGGCACGCGGCCGCCCGGCGCAGCCCGTCGCCGCCGCCGTCGCCGCCCGTCGCCGCCAGATTGGTCTTTGCACTGCTGCGCACTATTTTGGCACTGGTTGCCATTGCAATCGCATTGCAATCGCATTGCAATCGCATTTCCATCGCATTGCAGTCGCTTGTATTGCAATCGCATGGCTTCACGTCGCTTTGCATCACCTCGCGCTGCTTTGCATTGCTTTGCATTGCATTGCCTTTGTATTGATTTGCATCGCGACGCATCGCTTTACATTGGGTTGCTTTGCGTTGCTTTGCATTGCTTTGCACTGCTTTGTACGGCAATCGCATCGTTTTCCATTGCTTTGTATTGCTTTATTTTGCACTTTGTTGCATTGCGTTGCCTTGCGTTGTTCTACAATGCATTGCATTATTTCGTATGGCTTCGCATTGCATTACATTGCGTTACATGGCTTTGCATTACGTTGCGTTGCATTGCTTTGCATTGTTTTGCCTTGCATTGCATTTTTTTGCATTACTTTGCATTGCTTTGCATTGCATGTCGTTGCAGTGCATTGCATTGCAGCGCATAGCAATTACATTGCGTTGCATTGATTTCATTGCCTTGCACCCCATATCCAACATCACATGGACTGCACTTTCTGGACTGCACGACATGAGTTGCCCCGCGTAGAGTTTCCTTTCTTCGGATCCACCTGCCCCTGGACTAATCGGACCCCTTTCTCGTATTGCAATTTACATATGATTGTGTCCCATCGTCCATCCTGAATATGAGTTCAAATCATCTCAGCTAAGCCAGCGTCCCCTCATCCTCTACCAGAAATTCTATGCGCGCGCACCGTTTATCAATAACCATCCGTTTCCAATCATTTCTTAGACCCCAAAAACCGACGGCGTGCACACGCGCGCGGCGTCGCGACCGCATGCCGAAATCCGTCAAAAATCTTAGGTGTCGCAATGATTTCAAAATCGAGTGTCCCGAAAACATATAAAACACACATGGCTTGGCAGCAAGAAGTGTAGAAACAAGCTTGCGCTCGGGCTCTTGCAAATTCTAAAGAAGACAATGATTTTTATATCAATTTCATACGTTGCTACCAAACGGACCTCTCGCACGCGCATATCGGGATCGTTTGAACACCCTTGCGCGCGTGCTGTCGCAATACTCCCTTGAAACAAATGGGACGAAGTGCACGCGCGCATAGTTGCCATGATACCGCGCCCGCCCAAGTCGCCGACTCACACTGAGCTGTCCGCTGGGAAGTGCCCAGCGGTCAGGGCCACCGCGGCCGCGTCGGTCGCGCCAGACTTTGTGGCCGCTGCCCGCGCGAACATGCGCGGACCAGCGCGGCCGCAGCGATGCATTAGCCAACTCCACACTCATCGCTGTCGCCGCCGCGTGGGTTCTGCAAACCAAGCTGCGGGTTGGGTGGGTGGGATGATTGCGCGAGCAGTGGAGTGGATAACCCGTTGCGAACAATCTTGCAATTGCTCTTCATCGGCTGCACGAAATCACGGTTCGGGATCCACGCTGACTGAGAGATATACGTATGTGTATGGATCTGTAGGTGTAAAAATGCTTATGTATACACAAAACTGGACTGGCGCTTCGAGCCATGCACCTTTGTCCATCCATTTGGGCCTGCGGGCGGAATCAGAAAGAGGTAAATAAGTAAAACTAGCGACCGCCGTCGTTGTATTATGAATGTTTCTTTCTGTGTCCCTCGTATGTCCTCTTTCTCTGCCTAGTTCTTGCCTTGCCCTGTGAGCCCTTCCCCGTCCTTTTCGCGTTTTTGTTTGCGCAGGGACCTCCTCGGAAAGTCTCTTGAGGGTTTCACGGAAGCTTTTTGGGGACTTCTCGTGTGCCTTTGGAGGCCTCCTGGGCGCCTTCTAGGGGACTCTGAGGACTTCCTCGGGCCACCTCGCTGCGGCGAACCACGGCCTCCCTCGACGCCCAGGTCACGATTTGGAGTGCTCCGGGGGCAGGTTGGGGCCACTGCGTTTTGAAACCTTCTTGGGAGTGTTATCCTCTGGGCCGTCCTCGGGAGGAGGAGGAGGAGGAGGAGGAGGAGGAGGAGGAGGAGGAGGAGGAGGAGGCGGAGGAGGAGGAGGCGGGGGAGGAGGCGGAGGAGGAGGAGGAGGAGGAGGAGGAGGAGGAGGAGGAGGCTCCAGGTGGGCGTCGGGGGCTGGTTGGGGCTCCTGCTGGGCCGTGCGGCTGCCCTCCTCACCGCTCTCCGGGCCCGCCGTCGGCGGCCGGCAGGGAGGTGCAGGGCGCCCAGGAAGCCGCGGGAGCGCCCTGTAGGAGGCGTCCAGGAGGCCTCCTCCTCCTCCTCCTCCTCCTCCTTCCCCCTCGTTCCCCCTCCTCCTCCTCCTCCTCCTCCTCCTTCTCCTCCTCCTCCTCATACTCCTCCAGGGGAGGCCGACATTTGCTCGAGGATGAGAGACTGGGCTTCGAGTGCGCTCCGAGTGCGCTCCGTCTGGGGCCCCTGGCCTTGTACACGCGGGTTCTTACTTGTCGTCCAAGGCACCGGGCCCGTCTGCGGCCCCAGTGGCCCCGCTCTCGCCCGTCGCCGCCGCCGCCCCTTTGCACCCCTCCGTTGCATTGGAATCGCATTTTCGTTGCAGTGGCATGCGTTTTACTGCAAAAGCATTGCGTTGCTTTGCATTGATTGGCATTGCTGTGCAGTGGTTTGCATTGGTTCTCCTCTCTAAAAGAGAATGAGGATGTCCCCCTCCCCCCCATCACAATTATCCGCCCCCCCTGGGGATGTGCTATTTGAGTATGACCTCTGCCCCGTCGCTCGTTCAAAACATAGGTTCATACCGTCCCAATCAAGCAATCAAGCCGGTACCGACCCCCCTCATCGTGGTCAAATGATACTAAGCACGCACGCTTGCCGATGACAAACAATTAGTTTGCAAGAACCCATTGCGAAAACAATGCCAGACAAAGGCCACGCGAGCGCGTCTTGGCGCGCGCATGCCGAACTCCAGCCAACAACCCAACAGGTGGCGCAAGGATTCCAATATTGAGGTTCCCGAACACATGTGGCAGCATCGATCCCGGTCAAAGAACTCCATGCGGCTACTCGATCGCGTCGGCCGCATGTCGAGATCCTTCCAATACTTTCATTACCGACGTGTGGACACGATCGTCGTCGTCGGTGCGATCAGCATCGGCGCCCTCATCGGTGTTACCGTCACCATCGTCGCCAGGCTCGCTACTATCATCACCGTGCCTTCCGTTGCGACGTCGCCGTGATACCGTTCCCGCCCGAACCACTGACTCGCACTGAAGTGCCCGCGCGTCAGCGCCGCCTGCGAGACGCGCTGGGGAATCTCTAGCGGGCAGCGCCACCGTGGTCGCGTCGGTAGCGCCAGATTAGCTGGCCAGCTCTGCGCGCGAGTGCGCGCGCTAGCGCGGCCGGAGCGATGCGCCAGCCAGCGCCGAGCAGTCATTGTAATCACCGCCGCATGGGTTTCGCAAACCAAGTTGCGAGCGGGTGGGTCGGATAATTGCGCGAGCAGTGGATTTGAACTTCAGTGCGAACAACAAACAGTTTTCTTTTCTCGATCAGATCTAACCCACACCCGCTGAACACCACGCCGGCCTGGGGATGGGCAATTTCTGTATGATATGTGTTCCGTCGTCCGTTCTCAATTTGAATTCGTACCGTCCCAGTCATGCGGGTACCGGCACCCTCCTTCATCTGGTTCAAGTCATATTTTGCGCGCGCACCCGCTCATTACATGTAATCCGTTTACAATGGGCCAATGCAAAGCATACGAGACAAGGTACACGCACGCGCTCGCGTCGTTGCTGAAATTCGGCGAACAAGCCTTAGTTTTCTTAGGACTTTAATTTTCGAAATTTCTCGAACACATCTGGAACCACATGGGTTTTCAAACCGTGCCTGAGCGCGCGCTCTGTGAAGTCGAAGAGAAACCATCGGGCTTCCATAATCTTCATCAGCTGCGACCAGACGTCTGCGCGCGAACTTACGCTCGCCAGCGCCCTGAGGGGGGGTAGGGGGAGGGGGGAAGACTTCTGAGGAACACCCCTGCTTCTCAGAAGCGTTCCCCCATCCCTGTACTGCCCTCTGCGCGTGGTTGACGACTCAACGATGCGCCAGCCAGGGCCGAGCAGCCATTGAATCGCCGCCGCATGCATGGGTTTGGGAAACCAAGTTGCGAGTGGGTGGGTGGGGCGATTGCGCGAACAGTGGAGTTGAAACGCATTGTGAACCAAAACTCATTGCGCCTTTACACAGCACTCTGGTTCACGTACAGTCGGGCCGCTGAAGAAGGAACCTTTTCGTTAGGGAGGGGCTTTGTGTTCCTTCATCGTTTTACAGTTGTTCCATGGCTGTCCTTAGTTTTTTTTTTGAATCGCAAATTCAATGTCTGGAAAAATGGAACCTCGTTCCTTACGTAGGGTTCCTTATGCGAGCGTTTCGTATGTATATGTATGGAAATGCTGAGCACCCTCCCAGGAAGGCGGTGTCGCTCTCGAGCAGAGGCCCCCCGCGGCGGGTCATGCCGGCGGCGTTGCCGTCCGTGGCGGCGCCCTTCTCCGCGCGGGCGAGGGCGGCGCGGGAGCCTGCGGCGGAGGAGTGCGGCGTCGTCTACGACGCCTTGTGGGAGGACTGGAGCGAGTGGCTGCGCCCAGTCGCGAAGCATCCCGCGCCAGGGGTCGGAGGAGGAAAAGATACCGATGCCGCCTGCTCGGCCCCGGAGACCCCAGCGTCGCATTGCTGTTCGCGCTGGGGCGTTTTCGCCCAGCTCTCGGGCCCCAGGCCCACGACGGATCGATCCGGCGCGGAAGATGCCGAAGAAAGATCCGGTTTACGGCGCCAGTCGCGACTTGTCACGATGTTGCAACTTCCCGTGACGCCGAATCTCAGGGACCGCTGCTCGTTTTGGAGGGTCTTCGCCAGCGCTGCTAGGTCAGCCTCGAGATTCTGGTCAGGGCGCGCCCAATGATCAGGAGGGGAAAAAACACACAGACACAATTAATCGTCGATTCCCCAGAAAATATGGGAAAATATGGGAAGTGGGGGGGAAAACAAAAACCAAGAAAATATGGCAAAATATGGGGGATATTTTTATTTGTGTGTATTTATTTGTGTGTTCCAGTTCCCCTTCAAATGAGAGGTCTGGGGAGCGGTGGCGGTTTCGGCGCTCCTTTTCCCATCCTCCAGGGGGGCTCGGCACGTGCGTCCGCCAGCTCCTCCGTGGCCGCGAAAGCAGGCGGCGGCTGCGCGGGAGGGACAGCGGCCCGCCGTCCCGGAGTGACCTTTGGTGCCCTGGCCCGCAGGGCCCCCCCCCCCAGCCCTGGCCCAGGGCCTGCGGGCTCGGATGTTTGGTCCGCCCGCGGCCCACCGACGCAGATGATGACGACGACGACGACGACGACAAGGACGAGGACGAGGACGAGGACGAGGACGAGGACGAGGACGAGGACGAGGACGAGGACGAGGGCGAGGAGGACGACGACGAGGAGAAGGAGGAGGAGGGGGAGGAGGACGAGGATTAGGATGATGGCGACGACGGCGACGACGATGGCGACGGCGACGACGACGGCGGCGACGACGACGATGACGACGACGACGAGCGACGACGACGACGGGCGGCCGCTCCCGCGCGGCAGCCGAGAGGCGGCCGCCCCCGCATGGGCGTCACCCTGCCGTCGCTGCTGTCCCGCGAGGAGAGCGCCACAGGCAGCTCCTTCTGGCCCCGTTCCGCCGCCGCGGGCTCTCGGTATCGTTCAACCGATCCCCATCCCCATCACCATCCCGATCCCCTTCGAGATCCCCATCCCCATCCCCATCCCCAATGCCCATCCCCATCCCCATCCCTTTCGAGATCCCCGCCAAATCACCACCCCTGTTGGGGACACACCCCTCGAAGCCCGAAGGGGACGGCCCACATCTCCATCCAGGGGGGTAATTCAGCCAGCGGGGCCCAGGCCAAGCCGCTGGGGATGGGGGTCGGATAAACGATGATCAGGCTCCCTGAGCCTCCGCAGCGCCACCTCGGAGGCGCAGTGGCGCAGGCGGGGCCCGCGCTTCGATCTCCGATGGATCCCGTCCGGTGTCGCCTGCGGCCGGCGCGATCCGATTCGAGGCCGTCGGCAGGGAGGGAGCGGGTCGTGGGGGGAAACGGGCCCGCAGGTTTTTTAGACGCCGTCTGGTTCCTGGGGCCCTGGACTGCGCAAGCCAACTCAGGACGGAAAGCCGACGGGCCCCGAGGGAGCAGGTCCAGGGCCCGTTTCCCTCAAGACCCGTTGGCTTGCCTCATACCAGATTCCGATACTCCGAAGATGTGGCCCGATGTTGGCATGGGCGTTGTTGTGCAGCGCTGCCGATCCGGTTCGATTTCGGCTCTGTGGCGTGGCGATGCAGTCCGATCCAACGCGCAGGTTTATTCGACCTGAGTTCCCGACTCGAGGCGGACTGATCTTGCGGAGGCCTGGCTCGCAGCTGACTGGCCGCCTCGCCGTGGCGACTCGTGGCAGTGGCAGTGCCGAAACGCGCCCAGAGTCCAGCGAGGCAGGAGGGTGCGAACCCGACTTGTGTGGCTGGCGCTTTGGTGAGGCCTGTGCTCAGGGGAGGCTGCAGCACCGCCGCTCAACGATGTGCTGTTTAGCCGAACCTGCATGGTGGGCTCTTGCCCTAATCTGTGCTTCGGCGCGGATCGTCTGCGCGCCTCGTCGTCTTTGTCGGCGTGTCGTCGTGGTCGTGGTGCGTGTTGCTCTGTTCGGGACTTGCCTCCCTCACGCAGTGACCGGCACCACTCGACGCGCCTGATCCTGCGGAGGCCTGGCTCGCAGCTGACCGGCCGCCTCGCCATGGCCGACTCGTCCTCGCTGCCCCAGCAGTACTCGCTGATCTGCAAGGCTCGGGGAGCAGCGCAGCCATGAGCGCAACGCTCGAAGGTCCGCGCGGACTTCTCGGGGCCCCCCGCGCGCCAGGGAACGGGGGCCCAGTGCTGGCCCAAGGAATCCGCGCGGACCTGCGAGCGTCTATGCTTGCACGTACACGCTGTTCCTTTCGAGTTGTTCTGAAGTTCTTTGATGTTTTGTGGGGGGTCCAAGATCCGTTCACTCCTGATTGTTGCATCCTGCTTCTCCTTCTGGCCACTGAGGGGCCAGGAACACTCCGAGACGAGCACGATCAGACATGAGCGACGTATGCTTGCATCGGGCCGGGCGAAAGGGGGGGATTGGGAAAGGGGGGGTTACGAAATTTGCTGCATGCAGCTGGTTTCGGCCCCACCCGAGGGGCTCATTCCTCGATACATTGGCGCCTCCGGCGCCGGGAGGCGCCGGGCAAATCAGCTACGCGAGCTGATTCTCAAACCCCCCTTTGCTATCCCCCCCTTTAGCCCGACCCGATTGCATGTGGCCTCTCTCTTCTGGAGGAGGACGTGACCCGGGCGTCTTCCCGGCGCGACGTCGACAGCCGCTCCGCGGCCGCGCGCCGGCGGGACTGCGCGGCCCAGCAGGGGCGGCTGCACAGGAGCCGGCGCGCCCGAAGCGGGTCCACGGAAAGAAGGTGGGGACGAAGCCAGAGAAGGAGAACCCAGATGGTCTGGTATACCGGAAATTTTCGGTAGCGATTTCGACGCACCCCGAATTTCGGTAGCGACCGGATCTTCGTTTGAGGGCGTTGAAATAGCGGATTTCAGAACGCTCTGATACCGGTATTGGGCGCTACATTTCGGTATTTCGGTAGCGACCGATCTCTGCGGAGCGCTACCCGAAATTTTCGGTAGCGGACCATCAGGGAAGGTGCCCAAGCCGCCACTTGTGCCTCGCTTTTCTCTCTGGGGGGCCTCCTGGGAGGCCGTCGTCGCCACCGCCAGATTCGCTTCGACATTCTGGTCAGAACGCACCCCGGGAGAGATCCAGGGAGTAGCCCTGTCGGTACCTGTTGGTTTCCCCAGGAAGGCCGACAGCAGGTCTGGCCCGCCCTGAACAGGCTCGCTGTCGGCGTCTTGGCGGACGTTACCCGTTCGAGACACACAGCCGCCTGCCCAACAGTGGCCGCTGTTGGACTTGGACAGGATCTGCTTTGGTGCGTCGTGCCGAGTTCTGTCCTTGCTCATCGCTCGCTCGAAGTGAGTATTTCTCGACTCCCACATCCCAATCAGCGTCAAGATTCTCGGCGCCCTCCTGCTCCAAGATTCGGGCGTCTGCTTCTTTCCCTTCAGTTTCACGGAGCGGGCTAGCGTGTATACTGGGGAGGCAGCGACAGAGCGCCTACACGCGTGTTTGGTCCCAGCGGCCCCCCCTTCTGGTTTCAGAACTCCTTCCGCTGGGGCGGTGGCCCTACAGCGGGGCCTTTCTGTGCGAATCAGCTTGGAAGCCGCTCTGAGGACCACGGGTCCACTTCGGGAACCACGGCATATGCCGCATGCCTTGACCCACGCAGCAAGTCGCTGCCCGGCCAGTTCCCGCCCACATCTTTCGAACGCCCCTGCGGGAGACACATCCACACCCACGGCCTCGCAAGCGGCCAGGCTCCCGGGCCGCGCCCCCGTGGACACGGGGCGTTTTTTCGCGGGCGCCCCCGCGCAGAACGTGTCCACGCGACCGCGCGTCCACGGGATGGCGCCCCAGGCCCGAGGCCGCGAGGGCACTGACCGTGGCTCCCAGACGTCGATGTCTTCGTCTGTCCTGGGTCCCGGGTAGTCCCCATACCTTCCCCCGTGACCGGCTCTTCCTCTCGGCCCGAGTCGTTTGTTGATGGCCCCGGGGCCCGACGGGGGCCCCAGGAGGCCGCCGAGAACGGCCAAGAGCCTCCCGAGCTGATCTTTTCACAGCGCGAGGATGCCAGCGTGTCCACGAGATCGCGCCCTGGCCTCGGCCTCGCGGGGGGCGTGGACTTGGAGATCCTATGCTGCGACCACCTCGGGCCCTGATCTCGGGCCTCCTGCAGCCGCTCGGGACGACCCGGCCACCCCCGGGACGCTCTCGGCGAGGCGCAGCTGCTGGTAAGCATCCCGAGGCTGGAAGACCGCCGAGGCCCAACAGGGAGGAGGAGGAGGAGGAGGAGGAGGAGGAGGAGGAGGAGGAGGAGGAGGAGGAGGAGGGGGGAGGAGGAGGAGGAGGAGGAGGAGGAGGAGGAGGAGGAGGAGGAGGAGGAGGAGGAGGAGGAGGAGAGGAGGAGGAGGAGGGAGGAGGAGGAGGAGAGGAGGATTTTTGACATCCACTACTGCCAAGCCACACTCTCTGGGGGGACGGCGCCTCCCCCCAGAGGAGGGGGCAGGGCTGGGTGGCGCCTCCTGCCACTTTCGCCACCAGCCCTGCCCCACCGCTGACGTCACGGCAACTGCGGGGGGACTCACGCCGAGACGGCTGCCAGTCCCGCAGTGCCGTGGAAACAGCGGGAAAAAAAAACTAACGCCACGGCGCGGGCTCCACACGAAGCTCGGATTTCGACGGATGCCGACCCTTACAAATAGCATTGAAAGTCTCGGTCTTCTTACGCGTCGGTGGCTGACATCGCTGAGCTAAGCCCCGAATATAACCCAGCGAGCCGTAGGAATGACACCTAAGACAGACAGTCAGGAAGGAGCCATCAGAAACGAGCAGCGATATGGCATGGTGCCCGAGCGCTCTCAGGGATGGGCCGTCCAGCTTCGATTCATTCGAGCAAGAACCTGGCGGCGGTATCGAGCGTCCTTTGCGCACGATCAAACAGTGCTGGCAACGCCAGAAAGCAAATCCGAAATACCCCTCGCGCTTCTCCCACGTCCAAGCATGGGGCCGCGAGGGAGGAGCAGGTTCGACGGGAGGGCGCTCCCAGTAGCAGTCGGTCAAATCCAACGGCGGCCACGCTGGCAGCAGCTTCGCTGCGAGCTTGCAGACCGCCTTGGCTATCTTAATTTGCCATTGCAGCCGGCTCTCCTCGGCCTCCGACGGACGGGGGTGGAGTCCAGCACCCTGCTTGGCGGCACGATCCGCCAGGTCATTCCCGAGGCGCCTCCAGCGCTCCAGGGAGGATATGCCCGCTTCGTGCGGGTCTTTGTGGGCATCGACTTTGACGACCGACTGGACCGACGACACCCCAAGACGATACATCATCATCAGCCCCGCGAACGGGCGGCGATAGCTCAGCTGCGAACTCTTGTCCCCAGCACAAGCAGAGACCACGTTCAAGCAGTCGCTATAAAAAGTTGACAGGCGAGGCTGCTCCTGCCCAGGATGTCGGTCCTCGCCGATCTCGGCGACGGGCCCTTGGCTCGCGTCACTCATGACCTCCACTCCGCCGCGGGCCAGGGCAGCGAATTCGGCACACTGGGAGGTCTGGAGGAAAGGGGCGTGGATAGGCCCATAGATGTGGCACACCCTGTCACCCGAAGAGTCGACCTTAACGAGCCCATATGCAGCACGCGAGCGCTCGGCAATCTCATGACGGAAGCAGCTACCGTCAAGGAAGATATCGCCATCAAAGGTGCCACCGTCCTGGGGAGGCTCAACCCATTCACATCTGGCCTGAAATTCACAATCCAAAAACTCCCGAGACGGCCGAGGGAAGACGTCTCCAGGATGCGGAAAGACACCCCAGGATGCGGAAAGACCGAGGGAGAGCAACTTCGGGGTCTCAGCGGCTTCATCAATCAAACTCTGTGAAGCGGTCTCCTCTCTCGTGGAGGCGACGGCAGGGCAGCGCCAGAGTCGATGGAAGGTCGAATCGCCAGTGAAACCGCAGAGCTCGCATCGATCCTCGAGACCGCGGTACCCGACCTTGATCGCCCGATCGCGAGTCCAGAGCGCTTCGCAAGTCAAGCTCCTGATCGATCCACGTTCCTGGGAGGTGACCCGCGACGATCGGAGGCGAGATCGGACGATGTCGAAACACAATCGATCGCAAGACAGGCCCTGCTTAGCCGAAGCCTCACGCTCCAGGGCACGCCGACAGGCCTGCTGCAACATTTTCTTCAGCATAGCTGGGGACACGCTCGTCAGCAATATCGTCTCCCCGAAATCGTTCACGATCGTGACGAAATCTGACATAGACCACTTGATGCGAATAAGGGAAAGACGCATGGCGCTAATGGGTCCCCCGACGTCGCGCCACCTAGGTTCCGCCGCCGCGAACACGGTCTCCCAGCTGAGTCTCAACTGGTCCCAAGGGATCGTGTAGGGATAGGCACCCGTCTGGAGCGCCCATATTTCTTTGGCGTACCTAACCACGGGGGCCACAGCCCCCACCCAAGTCGGGTCATCGTTCAGAAGGAGGGTGGCGGTCAGCGAACGCCCCCCCGCACCAGGTCTCAGAACGCGCCCCGCTTCACGACGGATCTTCGCCAACTCGAAGTCCGAAAGCCCATGGATCTCCGCCCCGTAGAGAACCCCAGGCAAAGTCCCAGAGACCCAAATACGCTTACAATACTTACCGAGGCTGCAACTCAGCTTGACGAGCTTCTTTGTAGAAGCTTTCAGGGTGTCCACGCGGACCCTAAACTTGTGGCCTCTCCTGGCGGCTCGTCTGGGTCTCCCTGCAGCATCGTCGATCCCCAGGTTCACGGCGCTGTCCGTGATCGGCCCAGCGAGGGGGCCCAGGAACTGACGAAGCTGCGAAGAGACCTCAGCAGATGAGCAGACAAAAGAGGCCTTATCAGGCGCCACCTTGCATTTCATGTCCAAGGTGAGAGCGTCGTGCAGGCCCTGCGAGGCTTCCTTTAAATCATGCACGACCTGGGCCTTGGAGCCCACCGCAGACAGCCCGCTATCATCGATGTACTGGTCCAGCTGGACGCTAGGCCCGAGCTTCAAGGAGTCGAGAGGGGTGATCATGTAGACCTTGACCCATGTCGTGGCTAACGAACAACCCGCGATAACCCCTCGAGCCGCCATCAGCGGGCCCGAGACGTACCCAGCCATGCAAATAAACCGGGCCCCTCGGTAGGCCGCGATCGAGAGACGATATAAGGCCACAGGGGCCCCGTGTTGCACGCAACGCTGTTCCAAAAGCCCGAGGTCGATGGTTTCGTAAAACTTGGACAAGTCCCAAAGAATCGTGGCCGCCACCAAACCACGACGATAGGAGCATTCAGCCCTGACTCCTTGACGCCACACGACGTCACTGGCCGAAGCAAAAGACTGGCCAGCGAAATAAGCTCGAGGATGCTCCAATTCCCACTGCTGTGCTATCACCCTTCTCGCTTTCCCCCACAATCTGTACATGCTGCAGAACAGGCCAATCGGCCTCCAGCCGCCGTGCGGCTTCATGATGAGCGCCAGCTGAACCAGCTGGATCTGGAAGGGGAGTGAGGAGGTCATTTCCATGATGGCCAGCATTAGGCCCACGACGTACAAGCAATCGTCGGTCATCCAGGAGTAGCGTTTCATGTGGAAACCGTCGAGCCCAAAAGCAGTCCTGGGGGAGTACCTGGAGGAGATCATCCTGAGAAATTCGGGTTGCAAGAAAGGGAGGGGGCTACAAATACCTTTCGAACCTTCATCGAGCGCGGGGGGCCCCGTCGACTTGGCACCCCATAATTCAGCATAGAGCGAAGACTGAGACTCCAGCAGAGAAAGAGGGTCAGAGAGCACAACCCCAGCCGAGCTGAGGGCCGTGGTAGGCTTCCAGCCCGCAGCAGGCTTGCGAGCGAGGTGAGCGTTCCTTCCTCCCTTTTCAATGTTGGTCAACAGCCATTCCTTCCAACTTTTCCCTCCCTGAGTCCTAGCATCCGACTGCTCGTGGACTATGGCGGCATCCAGCTCGCCAAGGATGTGCGACAGGTGCTCCTGATGAGCTTCATCCTCCACGCAGAGCCGACCACCTGGAGCCGCGACGATCGACACGAACGAGTAAATGGACTTGACGAGCGCCTGATACCTATCCAGATCGCTCGCGAACTCAGAGGGGATCTCCAGCAGCATCTGGCTCTTCTGGCCCCACGCCTGCGAACTGCGAGGGAGTACGTGCCAGTGCCTAAAGGTGTGGGACAACCACTTGATGGCGAACAGACGCGGGTGGCGGCCCTTGGAAGAGCCGCTCTTGAAGACAGGCTGCCAGACTAACTTGGGGCCCTTACTCCTGGCCCCGTAGTACGGGAGGGTGACATGTGCAGCATCAGCGATTTCACACTCCGCCAGACGAGCCCAGCGCCCGTAAACCCTACTCAACTCTTGGGTAGCCTGACCGACGGGTTCCCCTGGGACCAAAGAATCGAGAAGGGCACTCGCCTGCCCCTGGAGCCGCCCCCAGTGGGGAGGCCGTTTAGAGGGCCCGATAGGCCGCTGGGCAGGGATGGGAGGAGGTTTGTAAAATCCCAAAGCCTGCATCTTACAAGCACGAGGGTACATAACGATTTCGACAGGTGAGTGAGGAGCGAGCTGCGAGGTGGTAACCACGTCGACCGACTGAATAACCTTCGAGACCCCACTCGTCGCAACGAAATAGTCGAGCAGTTTGATGCCCCCCGTGGTGAGGCAGGTCCCCTCGCCCTGGGGGATGATCAGGTTCCCATGGAGGCGTTCAGTGAACCCGCTGTCCTGGACGAGGTCGGGCGACATGTTGAAATCAGCCGCGACCAAACATTCACTGGCATACACCTCTGCTGCCGACCCAACCTTCCCCAAGATGTCAAGATTTCGGTCCGTCAGCCCCTCGGAGTGATGCATGTACACCGAGGCGAACAGGATGGGCTGGTCAAGCCCTCCAGGGAGATGAACCAGACCCGCAATGGCCCTACTTGGGACCAATTCCGACCCCTGAGGGAGGTCGTGAAGGCCTAGGAAGGATCGGCAGACTAAGGCGACACCACCTGAGCTTCCTTCGCCGACTCCAGGACGGGCTGGCGAGAAGAGGCCTTTCCAGCCATGTCTGAGGCACCAATCTAAAGCCGAGCGACACGACTCATCACTACAGAGGTGGTGTTCTTGAACGGCCACGACATGGGCCGATGTGCGGGCGAGCCATTCTTTACATGGCCCCCAGGAGGTGGCATTACACGTCTGGAATCTGAGGGCAAGCTGGTCGGACTCGGGGACAGGGGGGCCAGACGACGGGCCAAAACTGGGTCCTGACATAGGCCCACGGGCGCCCAAACCAGGGCCGCACCCCAACGACGGATCCGAGGGACCAGGAGGTATCAAACAACTTGGCGCCTCAGGTGACTTCAAATCTCCCCCCCAC